AAAAAAAAAAAAAAAATTCAGTCCCTCAACTCACACTGACCACATCTTGAGTGTCCAATAGCCACATGTGCCCAGAGACTTCCATAATGAATAACTCGGACAAAGAACATTTCCATCCTCATAGAACGTCCAATTAATCAGCACAGACCTGAGGAGTAAATCCCCTCTGGGTTGTCGAAGGTAGGAGATATATTTAACTGCTTTTCACGGGCTTAGAAAAATTCCTTTACACTCACACTTTTAGCTACCACACTTTAGGATTTAACTAACATTTGCCTCACTGTCAGTTTCTATACCTTCAGAATGTGTGTATTCTCAGAAACAGTGAACTTTTTTATAATCTATTGGTTTTTAGAATATTCACTGTGTTGTGTAATGATAACCACTAATTACAGCACATTTTCAGCACCTCAAAAAGGAAACTTTGAACCCACATCTCCCCTTCTCCCTGCACCTTGGCAACCACTAATCTGCTTTTTGTCTCTATGGATTTGCCTGGTCTGAGTATTTCACATAAACAGAAAGATACAGTACGTGGTCTTTTGTTTCTGGCTACTTTCATTTAGCATAATGTTTTCAAGATATATCTTGTTTTTATGGCTGAATAATATGAAAATACAGTAAGTCCTCATTTAACATCATTGAAACCAATTTACCTATAGGCTAATTGATATAAACAAAAATTAAATTCCTATAGTGTATTTCTGGTCACAAATATACCACCAAACTTCTAAATAAAGATCAAAATATTTCTAATATTAAACACTGAAACACACGTTTGTAATCCCAGCACTTCAAGAGGCCAAGGTGGGTGGATGACCTGAGCTGCGAGTTTGAGACCAGCCCGAGCTAAAGACAGACCAGGTGTTGTGCTCTCTAAAAATAACTAGGCGTTGTGGTGGGTGCCTGTACTCCCAGCTACTTGGGAGGCTGAGGCTAGAGAAGGGCTTGAGCCCAAGAGTTTGAGGTTGCTCTGAGCAGTGACAACGCGGCTCTCTACTGGGGGTGACAAAGTGAGATTCTATCTCAAAAAAAAAAAAATGAAGCAAATGTGAGCCATACATACATTAAGGAAAGAGTAATAAAAACAAGTAAGATAATTATTTGCCCAGTTATTCTGGTTCAGGGTCTCAGAGAGCCCATCCTGATAGCTTAGAGGGCCAGGAGAGAACCAGCTCTGGACAGGATGTCATTCCATTCTAGAGCACACTTACACTCACACTTACTTACTCACCCAGACTGGGACCATGTATACACGCCAATGAACTTAATGTGCATATCTTTGGGATGTGGGAGGACATCAGAATATCTGGAGAAACAAACCCACACACACAGCGGCCAAGCCAGAAGTGATCTTTTTATCCTCAAGCTATAGTGGAATGACATTGAATGAAATGTTATTCAAGGACTTGCTATACTACATTTCATATACCTGTCATTGGTTGATGGACGTGTTTGGGCAGTTTCCACATTTCAGCTATGATGAATGATAATGCTATGAACATTATGTACAAGTTTTTGTGCAGGTGTACGTTTTCAGTTCTCTTGGGTATACACCGAAGAATGCAACAACTGGGTCATGTGATAACTCCATGTTTAACCTCTGGAGGAACTGACAAACTGATTTGAAATCAACTGCACTGTTTCATTTTGTGTACATTTCAGAAAGAGTTTATTCTTCTCTTTGCCTGATGGTGCCTGAGTGCCTGACATACACAGAAACCACCTATTCACTGTTGGATTAGATAATCACTTTGGCCCATACTACATGTCCATCCAGTCTGGAACTGAAGGATGCCCTGATGAAGGTCAGGATCAAAGAATGGCCCTAGTTTTCTTAATAAATGCCATCTTAACAGATTGTCAGAGATTTGGGTCAGTCAATTCATGTTTATCGAGTACCTATTCTGTTCCCCTTACTAGGCCAGGCACTGGGGATACATTTCTACCTAATGCATAGTCTTTTGGTTGGAAGGATGGCCATTTAAGCAGATCACGTGAATGCTGTTGCTTAGTGCTGTAATGGAAATACCATGTTGGGCAGCACCTGTGACTCAAAGGAGTAGGGCACTGGCCCCATATGCCGGAGGTAGCAGGTTCAAACCCAGCCCTGGCCAAAAAAAAAAATACCAAGCCAGCAAGCAGTTTACTATCTCTGCCTGGGAGCATAGTAAAGGCCTCACAGAGGAAGGGATATTTCTTAGTTGAGTCTTCAGCATTAAGTAGGACTCACCAGAGAAGAAATATGATGCAGGAGGCAGAACTCAGCAAAGCATTTTGCTAGATGAGACAAAGGATAGATGATATATAAGCAGTTCCCACCCACAAGAAGATTCCATGGTGGTTGTGGTGGATCCAGATTCTTCCTTTATTTGTTACCTCTCCTTCACTTGCCATCATTGGGCTGAGTTTAGTGTCATGTGAGCAGGGTTCAGTAGTTTGACAAACTGCTTTGGGTCAGCTTACTTCTCTGGCTAAAATATCCCTTCTTATTTGAGAGATAGTATGAGCAGTCCAAGTGGAACTTCTGTTTTGGCACAGTTAAGAAAAGCATGCAACCAGAATTATGGGGCTGAGGTCTCTACGTGCTTCAGATGCTTGGAGAGGGATGCTCAATTGTCTCACATTGTCTACACCCTGTTGTGCTCTGGTGCTCCTACAAGGTGAGACTCAATCCATGCCCAGTACACCTTTTTAATATAAAGTGGATCATCATTAATATAAACTGGGGGAAACTGAGTCAATTTCCTCCCAGGATCTTGAGGTCCTAGAAGTAAGTGACTTTAAGCTCACCCTAGGGTAAGAGTTGAGACTATTCAGGGTGGGTCTTTACTTTTCTACCAAGCCAAATTTCTCACTCAAGGGTTCTGTCAACCTCTAAGAATAGAACTAGAGGTTGCAGAAAATGGCTGCAGAAAAATGGCTACATACTTGCTTTCAAGGTAGTAGTGAAGGCTCATTGCCTGTAGCTCAAGTGGCTAAGGCACCAGCCACATACACCAGAGCTGGCGGGTTTGAATCCAGCCCGGGCCTGCCAAACAACAATGA